GTGTGTGTGTGTGTGTGTGTAGTGGTGTGTGTGTGTGTGTGTGTGTGTAGTGGTGTGTGTGTGTATAGTGGTGTGTGTGTGTGTGTGTGTAGTGGTGTGTGTGTGTAGTGGTGTGTGTGTGTGTGTGTGTGTGTGTGTGTGTGTATCTCTGGTCTGAGGAATGCAGCTCCTGCAGTGAAGGTATCTGACCTGCACAGAGCTGCAGCACCAGCTCCTTCTCACGCCACCACCACGGCACACGGAGCTGTGAAAAAGTGTTCACCCCTTCCTGATTTCTTGCATGTTGGTCACACAATAACGTTCTTTCACTTCCTATCTGGAATTCCTTTTGATCTCAGGCACGGACGTGTTCAGACCAATTAGCTCCCATGTGCCGAACACAAGGCCCCTAGCACACTTTCAAGTAATATTAGCCCATTTCACAATGTGCTGAGCTACAGCCCCCAGCATGCACTGCAACGTGAAGTGCACGCCATACCCCCCCTCCCCCCAACAGCAATCCATGGGACAACAGTTACACCTCAATCCTACCACACCGGTCTCATGACCAGACACACTAGCTGTGTTTCAGCTGCAGTCCAACCAATATGAACACTTAGACAGCTTAAAACCACGTAGTTCACTAAGGGTGAGGAGTGGACAGTCAACGCTGGGGATTTCAACACTGCTGGGAGCTCAAACACCTTTTTACTAACAATGTCTGAAAACCACATTAAATACCATTATGAAACAAAACACCGGAGAGCTGGACAGACAGCAGCAGCAGAAGAGTGGCGGAGATGAAGAGGGACGCTCTCTCTCCCACGGATTTGTGGAGATTTTTTAATATGACCCTTTCAGCAGTTGAGTCTGACACCCCTGTTTTAGCTGCTTTAGCTGGAACGGTTCTATTCAAACGATGTTTGGTCGGGAATCAAACCAGAGTGTGTTCTAGTTTAATCGATCCTAATTATCAGCTAAATTTGGTTCATGTTGTTTGATTGAGTACAATTGACCTGTTTACACTGGGCCAGTTGGTGCTGTAACTTTTACCCTTTAATAAATTAAACAGTCGTGTAGAAACCGTATTTTATGTTCTCTCAGGTTAACCTTTATTAATAAAACCTCCTAATCATCAGTCTGAATCGTTCCTGCTGCACCAGAGAACTTCAGGAACCTCCTTCAGCTGCAGCATGATTGCTGCGTCTTTTAAAAAGATAGTTCTTCGAGTTCTCTGGCAAACATGGTCAAAGAAACATTTGCATGATTAAATGGTTGTTTGCATGATAAAATCCTACTTCAGGTCGATGGAGAATGTGTTGTTTGTGGTTCTATACAGAACATTTTTCAAAAGAGTTCTATATAACACCAAAAAGGGTTCTTCTATTGTTACAAGCTTGACACTGTAACAACAGCAGAACCTTTTTGCTGCTATGTAGAACCATATCGCTGCTGTCAGAGCAAAACCTTGTATCTCCAAAATTAACTTTACAGGAGAAGGAAAGACATGGGTTACTTTTAATGTAAGTCAATGGAACCAGGAACAAGTCATTCTGGGTCGTTTCTTTTGGTCCATTCATCATGAAATTTACACAGAATGTAAAGAGAAACAGGCGTATTCACATTATTGAACAACGACAAAAATGGAGATACGAGCTTTTGTTCCAACAGCAGCAACATCCAACACATCCTCCATCCGTCTGAAGAACCATTTCACTATGCGAAGAACCCTTTAAGCATGCAAATGTTTCTTTGAGTGTCTTACTAAAAAACCCTGAAGAACCTCCTTTTCTAAGAGTGCACTGGAAGTTTATTCAATGACAGTGTCTGAGTTCTTGTTTCCCCTCTCTGTGTATGTGAGACTCCTGTGCACCGTGTGTTTGCCCTGGGCGGTGGGTGGTGGTTTGGGGGGTATGAGAGTGACTATGTTGTAGCTCGGGCAGGAGGTCCAGTAGAGCCGGTTTTAATGAGCTGTCTCTGCTGCCCCTGCAGTGTTCAGTGTCATACACGCCTCCCAGCACACAGTACAGATCATACTGTATCAAACTCTGGGCCAGATGGACGTATGAGCGCCGCCACGCAGCCAGCTCAACAAAACAGAAACGGACAGCTCAGTGATGGAGAGAGCAGAGTTCATAAAGGAGGTTCCTACCTAAACGTTCTACAGGACTGATGTTCTACCACAGCCTGCAGGTGCACACTGCGGCCACATCAGGCGTCTTCTCACTAACACACATCTGAACCTGGGATTCAAACTGTGTTATACTCACTGTAAACATTCTTTCAGCTCATGTTCAAGTGTGTGTCTGAACTGACCCTAGCTGAGTCTGAACTGACCCTAACTGAGTCTGAACTCACCCTAACTGATCTGAACTGACCCTAACTGAGTCTGCACTGACCCTAACTGAGTCTGAACTGGCCCAAACTGAGTCTGCACTGACCCTAACTGAGTCTGCACTGACCCTAGCTGAGTCTGAACTGACCCTTTTACTGATCTGAACTGGCCCAAACTGAGTCTGAA